CCCATATTCCATGCTGTTAACCTCTATGCTATCCTGTGTTGATACAGCATTTCAAAACATGCTTTTGATTCCCCTGTTAAGATTCCAAGTGTTATGCTTTGCTTTTTGAAAGGTTCTGAAATTACTTTTCATGATACTTGAGACCCTGACGGTTAAAATTTACATTTTAATGACAAAATAACACTTTCTAGATGACAAAAGTATTCAAAGTTTTATTATAAAAACAATGACAACATTAAATGAAAATACTAAAAAAACGCCATTTGTAATCCCACCGCCTTAACAAATACTTTTATTTCTGTATCTCTCCTTGTAGATTTTCTCCATATGCATGACACACACATACAGTCAGAGGACACTCAACTTTGCTTTCTAGCAATAGCATATTAAAATGTCTCAAATCATTTTGCCATTTGGCTCTCTCATTTATTTACATTTGTCGTATAAGCCTTAAGGTTTTAAACTTCTAAAACTTTAAAAAACCAAAGAACAAAGATGCCCCAAATTTCCTAGTACTACAAAGAAAACACCCAGAATCCTGTGTGGGAGGGGATGAGCAATAAGTAAATGAAAGAGAGGAACATTTTTTCCCAGAAATCTATCTTGCCATCACAGATGCAGGGCTGCAGCATCTACCCTTGGTCAGTTCCCAAAAGCCAACAGAAACAGTATTTGAAACATGACCTCGCTGTGTGCTGACCACAGCCTAAGATGGTTCACGTGGAGACCTATTATTCTTCCTGGTTCCATCCTGTCTTACAAGACAAGTGTAAACGTATTGTGGGAAAGCACTTGGAGAGTTATAATCCCGTAGTATTTCTGAACATCTCTTTATGTAATGAAATCTGTGAAAAGTAAATACGTTGATCAGGACATTCACTTCTATTCAAATGTGCATGAAGAAGTAAGACTTTTTTTTTTTTTTTAAATCATAGTAGTTGATAGCGGAATCATTTGAGCCTGCCTTTTCCCACTAAGTTATAAATGCTGCATATTATCTTTAATTTTTAAATTATTAATAAACACTTTAGTTAGAAGCAGCACTCAAAGAGTTCACACGAAGCCTTTAATTCCGTCTGGGATCTTGGCTGAGACAAAAACAGCTCATGCTGTGATCAAGGCTCCCAGCATGAGGCAGACAATGCAGTTACACTTCTGAGGTCACCAGGTTACCAAGAGAATACAATTCTCCCAGCCTCCATGATAAATGATGGCGCTTTGTGTCTCCAATTTCCGAGAATCAGTCTAGGTGGCCTGATTGCTGCGTAAAATAGACCATCGTAACAAATACTAGGGTTTTTTTGGACTTGGAATTAGAACTTTTAATCTAATTCAAGTAGTATAAATTAATAACATTTACACAATTTGTGTTAAGTCCATGCACTAATTCTGATATGGACTAAAATCACAGTAAGTTTAGTTAATGTTGATTTTTAAAATTAATAGGGGATTTTACCAACAGACTTTTTCAACAATAATCACCAAACTACAAAATTCCATTTGTATGCACCCAAACAAACAAAAACAAACCCTGTCTTGTTTAACTGCATTCTGTTAAATGTTTTAAGCTCTAGAAGGGACCTTTGCGTTCATCGGCCAGGACCCCCCATTTCACAATGAGGGCAGTGAGGCACAGGGAGGTCAATGACTTCTCTGAGGTATCCGGAGAGAGGTGAGCCCCTGGCCCATCACAGCGGGTGGAGGCGCTCCCCAAAGGAATGAAGAGGCGAGTCCTCCAGCACAGTTCTCAGGCTGACGCACAGGCTCACACTTGGGGGTTCACACCCTAAAAAGCATTCATTACAGAACACAGAACGACATTCTGAAAAGGAACCAAGTAGCTAAAAACCTATCACATTGAAAAGGAAAATGCAGCATCATCAGGGTCTTCACGCAAACCTGAACTCTCTTCAACCCAAACTACTTTTTATTCATTTCACATCACACATCTTTTACGTACTTAACTGTAAACTTTTGGTAAATCACGAAGTTTATGCTCTAATTTTGTTTCAAAAAATATTTTTCTCTTGTGGCATTAAAGCACAATTTCTTAGAACACATAACAAGAAATCTGCCAGGCATTTTTTTGTCCTACAACATTTTTAAAACCAGTAACTAGTTCAGAACACATACTTCTGAAAAACAAACTTTCCATGATAAACGCCTTCAGAGTCCAAGCTCTTGTCCTTTCAGTATCAGATAGAAGTAGCGGTGGTGCTTTCCCAAAAGAGAAGCCAGAGGTGTTTTCTCTTTACACCTATTTAACCTCACAAAACAGGAGATTTGTAGTACCATGTCCTTTAACTTGGATCTTTAATTTGGGAGAATAAGATGTTCTCTGCTGCAGACTTTAACACTGACCTCATCCTATATACCCTATACTGTACATTTTGAATTTTTGTTGTTTTTCTATCACTTGTCATGGTGTAAAATTATACCTACTATTTTCAGAAAATTAATGACTTTGATATTAAACATCTAAATTGAATCAGGCTTCTATAAAAAAGCAATCTCTTCGGTTATATATAGACCCAAGAACAGAGATACTATTAGAGAACAGCCTACTGTATGAGGCAGAAATTCTATGAGGCAATGTAACTGCAAATAACCCTAATGTTTAAAATTTCAAATGTAAAGAGCTATTTAGGTTAACAGGTCCAAAGGATGAATGTTTATTGTAAAACAGCTTTTTTGCAACATTTTATCACTAATTTCAGTGACAGGGGACCCTCTGAATCAGGTACACATTTGATTGCACAAGAGAAATACCCAGGGATCTGCTGAGTGGGTAGAAACAGTAACAAAGAAACTTGTTTGCCCCAAACGCTCTGAATGGATTACACAACATCGGATGAATTGTCTCTCTAGTAGGTTCTATTGAACAATTTTTTTTTTTTTTAATGAACCAAAACACCTTCCTAAGAAATCTTAGAAACAGCAGAATTCCTTTAGGGCTTGGTTTTAGTGATTATTTCTCGTCCGAGAGAGATGAGAGTTTGGAGATGGGCGAGGGAGACTCCATGTTTTCTTGTGTGAGGGTGGAGGAAGAAGGGAGTTAGAAAACTTTCTATGTCATCTCTAAAGTTCCCCGGGGCAGTCAGGTACAAAGGAATTTGAAGTGGCCCCTGTTCGGATTCACATCCTTTTATCAGTAATTGTCATAAAGCTTTTAATCAGCCTAAGACTTTGTGAGTCTTTTAAAAGCAGTATCACAAACACAAAAAAGTTCCACGTTTTGTCTGATGCTGGATACTTTCAGCCAAGGAGTGGGAGGGTGGGGAAATGGCCTGGCCTCACAGGAATCCAGCCCAGACCACACTCCTCCTGCTGTTTGCTTTGGCCTCTTTTGAAAAACTGCCAATTCCCTTCTCCTGGTCCCCTTCCTCCTTTCTGGAGTAAAAATATATTTTAAAAATCCTTGTCAGTTTTCAGCCAAACTAAAGTACCTGGATTTTACTCCAAACTACCGTTAGAGACTTACATCAATGTTTTCTCAGCCTCACTTCCCCAAGAATGCAACAGAGGGCCCTCTCCCTGAAGACCCCAGGTGGGAGGGGGCAGCCCTGCTCAGGCAGATTCCTGCCTGGTACCCAGGGTATTTTCCACATTTTCTTATTAATGGCCAAAAGACACAGGGGCCATTTAACTCCTTCTGCCTACACCTGCAGTTCTAGTAGTTTCCACCATGACCTACCTATGACTCTCAAGAGGAGTGCTTTAAAAAAAAAAAAAAAATAGATGCAGATGTATGTTTAGTAACATGTATAGGTGGAAAGACCACTGTGTTTGACCCACTGGCACTATGAATTCGGGGCCAAATGCCCTTTATAAAAAACAGCTTTGAGGGTACATGATGTAGTCATGTGATTTTTTCTTTAAATGGTTATTATTTTTAAAAACCTTTTTAAATTCCAAGTTAAAGCTGTTACATTTTAACTCACTCTCAGACCTCACTGGCTCAAGCCTTGTGGGCCAGTGATGTCACTGCCACCCTCTTGGGGGCAGTGTCCGGGTTACTGAGCTCTGCAGCCCCCTCCAAAGCCAGCGCTCCCACTGGCCAGCAAGCAAATAAAGGAATAGACAGGATTAAGGGCTCCAAAGAGGATTCCCCAGCACTCCCCAAAGGAGGATCAAACACTCTGGTCTAGTTCTTGGAACAAAGACAAGCCCCAGAGAAGGAGAAAGTGCCTGTTTAAATGACATGTGGCTCTTCTCAAGCCTCCATGCCACATGGTCTGGCTGGGGAGAGTCCTCTTCTGCAGGTAAGTGTATCAGTGGATCCAAGCCCACCAGAGCGAGTTCAACGGGGCTTGTCTGGCTTCCTAACTAGAGTCAGACGCTGCGTACCTACGGGAGGTCACGAACCCAAGCCTCTTCTTTCTGCTTTTGGTGACTAAGGAATAAACTCTGCCAAGAAGCACAATCGTGCACCATAGAGAAAGCCCTCTGCCTAAAGTTCTGTTTGCACACTCTCCTAAGCTCAGGCCCCAAAGGATTAACAAAAACTGCTTACATCTTGTTGCCATTTGCTTGACCAGGAAACAAAACCAACACCAGCCAGAGTAAAACAGCCCTGTCTCCACAGTTCATTCCACTGCCCAGTGGGGACAGTAGGACACGCTGACAGGAATGAGAGCACCAAAGCTCCGACTCGGTGTAAACATGCCCCAGCAGCACACGCGCTAACGCATTAACTTGGAGGGATCTGGGGTCACTGTCGAAGGCCTTCTATTAATAGAGGATAAAGGATAAAGCTCCTGCAGACATTAGCTGTAAAGCCCTGACAGATCGCACAAAATTAACTCCTCCCGGGTCAGCAAGAGGAAACCATGTCCTGCACAGCCTGATGTGCGCTTCAAACGCGCGCGCGCACACGCACACACCGGGCTTTAGAATCGCTTCCCTTAAACATGACAGACCCCACGCCCATCCCCAGTCTCGTTCCTGGAGAGGTGTCCCGGGGTAGGCAGCAGTGGCGGCAGGTGGCCGTCGGGTGTCAGTCAGCTCAGCTTTGCCACGCACACGACCAAGGCCACGGCCGCCAGCAGCACAGCGCTGAAAACGGTGGCGGCCAGGGCTTTGCTCGGATCGCAGGGCCCCGTGTGCTCCTCTACCGACACGCCGCCGGCCGAGGAGGCGCCGGTGCTGGCCAGGAGCTCCGCGCCCGCTTCTTCCCGGGCCTGCACCGTCCAACGGGGAACGTTGACCTTCATCTCCATGTCGTGGATCATCTCGCCCACCTGGAGGATCTCGCGTTCCAGATCGCGCAGATCCGCCACTTCGAAGTCGCGGTCGGCCTTGTGCCGCAGGCTGCGGGAGCTTAAGGCGCGCGCCGCCACGCCCGCCACGCCCGTGCGCACGAGCGGCAGCCGCGACGCGTGCAGCGGGAACGCCGTACCCAGCGCCAGCGCTCGCCGCATGTCCACCTCCAGCAAGTCTAGGCAGCCGGAGAAGGCCACCCAGAGGCGCTCGAACTCGGAGCGCTCTTCGGCGCCCAGACCATGGTCGCGCAGCGCGGCCGTCAGCCGGGCGCGGATGGCCACCGCCAGTTCCTGCGCCTTCTGGCGCGTATTTTGTAGCTCCTCACGCAGGTTCTGCGAGTCCGCTGAGCCGCCGATAGTCAGCACGAGGTGGTGATAACAGGCGGTAGCCTTGTTGAGCGCGTCCAGCAGGGTCTTGCACTCCTCTCTCGCCATGGCAGTGCACTTCGGAGCGGCCCGATCTCCCGCGCCCCTCTCGGCCTCAAGCCCTCAGCGCTGCAGGAAGCGGCCAGCCCCGACGCCCGCCCTTCCCCGGGCGGCCCATGCGCTCCACATGGCCCAAGACTCGCTCGGCGCTGCCGCTGCCGTCGGCGGAGCCGGCCGGGGATACGCGACGTGCGCCTCTGCAGACCGGGTGCGGCGAGGGAGCCCTGCTAACTGCCTCCCGTCCGCTCGTCCATCCTTCCCAGACGCGCTTCGAGTCACACGTCGCGTCTCTGAATGGCCCTCGCCTCCATGGTGGCTCCCTGCGAAGCCTTGGGCGCAGTCCCCATGCTCCTCCAGCGCCGACGCCGGCGCCAGCCGCCACCAGAACCGCGCGATCCGCTTTAGCCGCTACCGAGGGCGGTCGGGCCGGGTTTCCTAGGACACGCCCACCTCCGCCCTTCCTCGCGGGCGCTTCCACCCGGGGACCAGAAGTGGGCGGGGCCCCGCGCGGGAGGTCACGTGTGAGTCCCCTCATCCCTCCCCGTACCCATTACAGTTCTGGAATGTTAGTGCTCAGATGATCCAACCCTCCCCTATTTTACCGCTGGAGAAACTGAGGCTCAGGAAAAAAAGGGAGCCTAGGTCACGTGGCGTCCATGCAAATGAAAGGACTAGACCCTGGGACCCCGACTCCCAGACCCTGCTGGAGACAAGGAGTGGTGTGCCTTGTAGGACTGCGCACCGCCGTCCTCCAAAGCGGGCAGTGAAGGGTGAGCCGCGGGGCTGGGCCGCTCCCAGGGTCGGCATCTCTTTCCCCACCCCGGTCCAGACCCTTTTCCGCGACGGAGGTTGGACCCCACCCCTAGTATCTGATCTACTCCGTACCCCGTCCCCTCCTGTTCCGGGCACGCGCAGTCGGCGGCTCCCGGCTGGCCCAGCCCGAATAGGAAGCGCCTGAGCCCCGCCTCTGGCTGGGCCGGACTCAATGATTGCTCTGCGCAAACGTCACTCTGAGCCACGGCCGCCGCTCATTGGGCCAACCGGAGGCCTGGGCGGGAGTCCGCCCAACGGCGGAGTAAGGGGGTGGGATGGGCGGCGGAGCGGAGCTGCTGTTCTGGAGTGGTCGGCGCGGAGGTACGAGCCAAGGGGCCGAAAGGTGCCACCACCGCTCCGGGATGAGCAGGCGGTGAAACTATGTAGCTTTTCTAAGTAAGTGTCCTCCCGCGTGTGTCCGCCCGCGCCTCCCCTCCCTCGGGACGGCTCGCCTGGGGCCCGGAGGCCCGGCCGAGGCCCGGAGCGAGGGGGGAGGGGTTCTCTCCCCGCCGCAGCCGGCGCCCCGCGGCGTCCAGGCCCCCCCTGGCCGGGCTGGCAGGCCCCGAAGGCTCCGGCTCCTTTCCGCTGCGCCGCCCCGCCTTGTCCTGGTCCTGTCGGTGGCTGGGCGCTCTCTGCTGACTCTGCCCCTCGTGGCCGGGGGCGCGAGGAACCGTTCTCTGACTCCTGCGGCTCCCGACCAGGACCGGCGGGGCCGGGGTCCGCTGAGCTCGGACTTGGGGACAGTGGGCGGGGTCGCCTCCGCGGTTTGCGGGCGGCTGGCCGGGGGGACGGGCTTTGGGGGGTGGCTACGGTGGGGTTCGGAGCCTCAAGTCGGGCCGTTCTGGCCCTGGGGTGATGAAGGCGCCGCGGGGGGTCGAGGGGAAGACCCTGCCTGCGTCTCGCGTTCAGTGGTCTGTGAGCGGATCGGAACCGGCCCGAACGCTCCCTTGGTCCTTCTGGGTAAAGATTACTCCAGGAAAAACTCGCCCACACCAAGAAGTCTTTTTAGTTCTTTTCGTTGAAAATGGGCCGCCCAGAGACGCGCGAGCCGGGCTGTGACCCACCGGCCACCCCTCGAGATGCAGGGCCCGCGGGAGCGGGTGTTGCGGCTTCAATGAGGATTTAGGGCATTCCGGGAACGCGGGACCGGTGAGACTGGAAGGACTATTCGGCTGCACGCGAGCTGGGATTTTCTAAGTTTATGGACTTCGTGGAGAGAGGCCCTCATCTTGATTAAGTAATACGCCTCCCACTGGCCCTAGAGAAAAGTGGTAGATTTTAACGTTTCGGGATCCAGTTGGTGGGGCGTGGTGTTGAGATGGTCCAGAGTGCTGGTCCCTGGATTCGCCCTCACTTGGGGGTCCATCTATTAACTGGTTGTTTCGGGGGGCCGTTCCTTCCCAAGCCCGCCCATGGGCCTGCACAGAGACTTTGAAAAGAGTAGGAGTTTTCCTGTGACCGATGGGAGGAGGAAGGAGGGAAACCCATCTATTTTCGGAGCTTCCGCGGCAGCAGAGGGAGATGAGGCTGCCGAGGTGGACTGAGGCCTGAAGAGAGAGACCCTCAATGCCAGCAGAGGGTTGAGAGTTTATCTGGTAGAGAGCCGAGGGGAAGCCATTGAAGAATACCACACACACTTTGGTGATGGAGAGATCACTTGGCTGTGTGTGGGGTGGACAGGTTTGAGTGAAATCCAGGGGGCAGAGCATGTGGGGCTTGGAGGGGGAGGTGCAGGATGGAGCAGGAGCAGACTTCTGACACAGCACCTGGTGGCAGGAAAGCTTTTGGGGCTCTGCAGTGGGTAGACTTTGGTTCCCAACTTACATGTTGGGCAGTCTTCTGAGACTTGTCACCTGAATCCTGCCTGGCGGCCCTAGTGTCTGCAGAGGGTCTGCAGTCGAGGTCTTAATGGTGCCTCTTGCCCTTGGGAGGGTGGCTCGGGGTCTTTGTTATTGTTATGTCTTCAGCATTTAGTGGTTCCGTGGCATCTGCTCTGCTGGCGCTTTTCCCTGGTTCATGAGTTGCCAGGGTTAGACTGGTGTCCAGTAACTTCGTCCTCTCATACAGGAGCAGAAGAGACCCCATGATGATAGACACCAGAGTTAGAAAGGACTCAGACTGGAAGAACCCCGACCTGAGGTTGCCCCTTCATCTGAGACAGCAGTAGAAGTGGCCCTCGGAGCTGCTGCTCTTCTGCCGGACACACTGGCAGGGAGATGGGTGCAGGTGCTTCCACCTGCAGCTTGAGGAGCAGGCTGATGGAGTGGCATTGGGAGGGGCATTGGTGATCCCCCACACTTTCCTGCTTTCTTGGTGATTGCATCCCCTCCCAGCCCTGGGGCCTTCTGTCCCTCTCTGACCCTCCACATTCCAGCTGTCGCTGTGTTCGGCCAGCTCTGAGCACCCTGTTTGTTTTGGGTTATCATTCTTTCTGCCTGCTTCGCTGCTGCCTGGGGCCAACCCTCAGCCTACGGTGGATATGGGTAGTGGATTTCCAGCCCCTGTGAGAGATAACCCCCTCACTGGGAGCTTTGGCTTCCACTAACACCCTACTATCATTTCGTTCCCGTTGGCGAGCGGTTACTGTGTGCCTGCAGTGAGCCAGGCACGGGGCTGCATGTCAGGCAGGTGCTGTGAGAAAGGTCTCACAGACCGTACAGGCCAGGAGGACACAAGTGACTGTAATACTATGTATTATGTCATCGTTAGGCATTCACTCGTGTCCCCTCAGAATATGTGTTGGAGTCCTGACCTCCGTACCTGTGGATGTAATCCTATTTGGAAATAAAGTTTTGTTTGTTAATCAGACCATATCAGTGTAGGCTGTGGCTTAAACCCAGTCACTTTCAAGACGTATAAGGAGAAGGTTTGGTACAGAGACAAAGGAGCACAAACGGGGAGAAGAGATGCTACTTGCAGATTGCCAAGGAACCTGGGAATGCCGGTGTTAGAGAAGCTGAGACAAGGATTTTCCCCCAGAGCCTACGGGGAGAGCTTTCCCCTGGAGCCAGTGCCCTCAATTGAGATTTCTAGCCTCCTAAGCCCTGGTGGGAGCCCTGGTGGCACAGTGGTTTAAGCGTTTCACTGTATAACCGAAAGGTTGGCAGTTGGAATCCACCGGGTGCTCCTTGGAAACCCTGTGGGGCAGTTCTCTGTTCTGCAGGGTTGCTAATATCAGAATTAACAGCAACTGGTAAACTGAGAAAGTAACTTTCTGTTTGTTCAAGCCACACACTTGTGATGTTTGTTACAGCAGCACTAGATAACTAAGACAGTCATCAACTTGCTCTCATTTGGTATTAAACACAGACAAATAGGAAGTTTTCTTCTTTTGCCTTTTCCTTCTGAATCACACATTAAGCCAGCTGGAGAATATTGCCTCTCAGTTGGAAAACTACCTGGTTTATCATTGGTGAGGGTCTTTGGTCAGGCCCCTGGAAGGGCAGGAAAAACCACAGCAGGTGAGATTTTGGCAGGGAGTGCATCTCTGGGAGGTGCAGACTGCCCTGTCCTGGGCTCCTGCCCAGCCAAGCTGCGTGCAGTCACCAGATGGTTCTTGACTGTGTAGGCTCATCTGGCCGGCAGGACCGTTGACAACCACAAAACCACCAGTGTGCACACTGCCCCCTGAAATGCCCGACACTGATCTGAGGCCTCCTGTGGCTCTCCTGTATGTAGAGTAACTTCAGGTAACACGTGTTTTTCTGTAAATTATCCCATCATTTGAACTCAGGCCGGGGTGGGCTAATTATCATTTTTTTTAAAGGAGATTTATAAGAGGCTTTGTTCATCGTTCCAGTTTTCCATGAAAAAGTCAGTTTGCTTTGCATGTCATTTTTAAAGCAGAAGGCTAATTCTGGCACATAAACTCGATAGGGTATTATGTTTAAAGTAGATACCCCCTGTATAAGAATTCATCTCTGGTATTAAGCACTAAATTGAATATGATTTCTCTGTATTTTTAGCACTAGGGCAGAAAGGTTGAAAACAGTGCTTGACAGAGCTCTTTGAACACCTGCTCCTGGACAGGGCTCAGTCATTGGCGACCAAGGGGACTGATGTGCTGGAGAAAGCAGGTGACTTGGGACTAGGTAACAGCAGGTTCTGTCTTGTTGACCAGCACTGCTTGCAAAGAGCCATGTGGGTTTTACACAGTTGGTGCATTTGACCTGGATGTCTGGATGCCGCATTCAGGGGCCTCCCCAACACCTTGCTGTTTGTACCTCTCTGCCCTGGTCTGCTTGGGATCTTCATTACTTCCCTCAAGTCATCTTCTCATCTAGTAAAAAAAGTGCACGCTCTCCACGTGGAACCTGTTCCTACCTCCTGAGCATTAGTCCCTGCTCTCGTCCTTGTAGGAGCTTTGGTGGCGCAGTGGTTAAAGCGCCCGGCTGTGCACCAAAAGGTCAGTAGTTTGAACCCACCAGCTGCTCCTCGGAGAAGAATGTGGCAGTTTGCTTCCGTAAAGATTTACAGCCTTGCAAACCCTATGGGGCAGTTCTACTCTGTCCCATAGGGTTACTATGAGTCGGAATCGACTCGAGGCAGTGGGTTTGGTTTTGGGTCGTCCCTGTCGGGGTGCCCCCCCCCCCACTTCCCTGCTGCTCTCTTTCCACCTGTTCCTTAACCTCAACCGACCTTGGCTGTTTTAGGCTTGTTTTTCACTTGTTTGGTGCACATTCCTTGCCTCCCAGGTGGGTTGTTAGTTCCTGCATGGAAGCCAGCCTGTCACTTCCACCTTGAGGGTGGCGTGTTGGTGCTCTGCCAGCATCTTGTCTGAGGAGCAGAAGGAGTGTGGGCTTCTGGCTGTGATCTGACTGTATCACATCCTGTTTCTCGTATGGCTTTTGTTCCAAGCATCTTTACCTTTGCTCTCTGCCATGTACAATCAGCTGTGTCAGAAACCAAGAAGAATTTTGTTTTCTTGTGACTCTGTCCCAGCAAAATTATATTACCCAGTTGCTCTGGCAGGGACTCATAAAAGGATTATCTGGACTCCAGTAATAATTGAATTCAGCAATTCAGATACCTGGGTGGTTGCAGAGCTGTCCTTGGGACCCAGGAAGGGGTTATCTGCAGCCATTTTCATGCAGTGCCCTTCTCCCGAAGAGGATTTGCAGGGAGCAGAGGGCCTCTTTCAGAAGGGACTGCAGCCAAGACAGCTCTGATTGGACCTAGGGAGTTTGGTGTGGGGCCTGTGTGGCTGTCTGTCATGGTGACTTTTCCGTCTGTGGCTCATGAGATAACCCCCTTTTCCTGCATTTTTGTTTTACCTGATGGGTAAAGTGGTTAAAGGGATGAGTTTTAGAATAAATTATAACTTCTGTGTAATCTTGAGTCAGCCGCTTAACCTCTCTGAGCCTCAGTTTCTTCGTCTCCCACGTGGGACTAATTAT